AGCTGAGGGTTATTCACAGCACACACTCTGAGCGTGACGTCCTTATTTTCAACATTTAACCAAAACCACTGGATGTCAGACTGAAGCTCTGGCTGGCTCCGGTGGCGGGTGATATGCATTCCTTTGATGTGCACGTTCACATTTTTCTTCTTCTTTTCATGAACACATTAAACTTTGTCCTAAAAAACAAACGTGTTAATCATTCCAGCCCTCCTGCAAGGACCGCTCTGTGCTCGCCGGCTGCAGGTTCAAGGTTTGTGTCAGAAAACACTTGGTGCTCAGTCACTCTTTAGGTTCTGGTGCTGACCGGGTCCAAACTCACTGAGGAGGGACGTGTAAAGGTACGTTTGAGCGTTTTGTTCCAGAATTATCAGAAGAATAACGTTAAAGCTTTCTATTTGTGACATGTAGCATCAAACCAGGTCAGCTGTAATAAACTGAACTTTTCAGGTTTCTGGTGTTTGAAGCTACGTTTGGATTTGGATCATCGTGACGTGAGCGGTTCCACAGGCAACACACGTTTTGAAGTGAACAGTGCATAACCAACAAACACCCTTAGCAGCCGCGCTTCTGTAGTAAGAAAACACAACTTTAAAACGTCAGACTCGTGAAAAGCAAACACCGAGGTTTCTTTTCTCCTCCCTGAGGGTGCAGTCCTGTTAGTTGTTGCTTCTGCTCAGAAAAAAGCTCCAGAAGATTCTTTAGGATTATATTTCGGCAGATATTTCCTTGTGGTCCAAACCTCTGTTTGACGTGACGGGTCAGATGTTTACAGATTTATCATAATGTGGGAAATGTCGAGGTCAGAACATGTTCCTGTCAGAGCTGCTGAGATGAACTTTGATCAGCAGGAGACTGAGTTCACTCCAACATGCTGACAGTATGAGACACAGATAAGATACTGTGCATGTAATAAAACATGTTCAGAACTAAACTTAGAAGATCAATGAGAAGAAGCAAATATGATTTCAACTCTGTGTCTTTTTAAACGTCATTTTGGTATAAATCATTTCTCTGCATTTGAACTGATAAAGGGCGTGCTTACAAAGGAAATGCTGTCAGAGCAAACAGTTTCCAGTGAGTTCAAGAACTTCTACTAAAGAAAAAGTTTTGTTATGTGAATGCTGAAATGAAAAATGTGCAGTTCAGCATATTTTGGGTCATGCAAAATCTTGACCTTTGAGTAAAGGAGTAATTTATTGGATTATATAATCTGTGAAAGAGTCAATCCATGTGCAAAGAAAAGTCAAGTCCATCCATCCATTATCTTTTACCCACTTCTTCCATTTTGGGTCATGGGAGTCACCGGTGTCCATGTCCAGGTATCACTGTGCGAGGGACACCCTGGACAGGTCTCCAGTCCATCACAGGGACACATAGAGACAAAAGAGACAAACAACCATTCACTCTCTCTCACCTAGGGACAATTTAAAGTCACCAGTCACTCTAGTATGTTGTTGGTCTGTGAGAGGAAATCGGAGTATCCAGAGAAAATCCACGCATGCACGGAGAGAACATGCAAACCACCCAGAAGGCACCCGGACCGGGGATTGAGCCAGGGACCTGCTCGCTGAGAGGCAGCAGCTCTACCAGTTGCGCCACTGTGCCGCCCGTCTTAAAGGTCAACAGGAGAATTTTAAAATCAATCCAGATACGTACTGGGAGCCAGTGCAGGGAGGACAGAACTGGTGAAATATGCTCAAACCTACGAGTTCCTGTTAAGAGCCGAGCTGCAGCATTTTCTGCAGCATCGCCTTATAATCCAGCTGTTTTTGCTACTTTCTTGCCATCTTACTTTAATTTGTAAAAAAAAAAAAAATCTGTACACCTTTTTATAATTGTCCATTGTTGTCATCATTCTTTGTTGAAATCAGGTCTCTCCTGTAAATGAGTCCTCGAGGCTCGGTGGGATTTACCTGTAGAAATAAAGGTTGAATTTTGGACGAGCTGGAGACGTGAGGGAGACCTGACTGACCCCAACATAAAGTGAGTTACAGTACTCTAGTTGGGTTGTAATGAAGACATAGACTAGTTTTTCAAGGTCAGATCTGGTCAACACTGACTCAACCATCACTTTCTGCCTTAACTGGAAGAAGCTCTTTTGTAGAACAGAGTTAATCTGTTTATTAAACTTAAAGTGAGAGCCTAAAACCATCATGAGACTTGTAACAGACTCTTTAAGATATGGCTGAAGATTGTCCAGATTTACAGGAACAGAGACAGCAGAAGAGCTTGGGCTAAACACGATGTCTTCAGTTTTCTGATGCTGAAAGTTTGAATCCATCCATGCCTTGATGTCATCAAGACATTTTAACAGAGGGTGAATTGTGCATGAACTATTGGTTTTAAGGACCAATAGATCAGACAATCATCAGCATAATAATGAAACGAAAGACCATGTTTTCTCAGGATAGACCCCAAAGGTCACAGATACAATAAAAATAGAAGGGGTCCAAGAATCACCCGAATCAAAGACTACCTGACAAACAGACCACAGTTTGTGAGACTGAAGGGTTGTGTCTAACCAGGTGGTCAGTAGCTCAGGAGCACCACAGGGGCGTGTACTCGCACCATTCCTTTTCACTCTGTACACCTCAGATTTCCAGTACAAAACAGACTCCTGTCATCTGCAGAAATATTCTGATGACTCTGCAGTGGTCGGGTGTACCAGAGATGGACAAGAAGCTGAGTACAGGGAACTGGTGGACCGCTTTGTGGCATGGTGTGGAAACACTCATCTCATCTTGAATGTGAACAAAACAAAGGAGATGATTGTAGATTTCATGAGAAACAGGAACAGGTCCAACCCTATTTCCATCATGGAAGAAGAAGTGGAGGTGGTGGAGAAGTATAAATACCTTGAGGTTCACCTGGACAATAGACTGGACTGGAAATGCGTCTACAAGAAGGGACAGAGCAGACTGTACTTCTTGAGGAAGCTGAAGTCCTTCAGCGTTTGCAGCAAGATGCTGCATATCTTCTATAAGTCTGTTGTAGAGAGCGCTGTCTCTTCTGCATCATCTGCTGGGGGAGCAGCACCAGAGCAAGAGACTTCAAAAAGATCAAGAAGCTCATAAAGAAGGCTGGCTCAGTTCTGGAGACTCCTCTAGAACCTTTGGAGATGATTGTTCAAAGAAGGATTCTTCATAAAATGAAGAACATTATAGACAACCCTCAGCATCCTCTTCATCAGACTGTCATACAACGTTAGACTGTCATACAACAACAGAGTGTCATACAACATCAGACTGTCATACAACAACAGAGTGTCATACAACATCAGACTGTCATACAACAACAGAGTGTCATACAATGTTAGACTGTCATACAACATCAGACTGTCATACAACATCAGACTGTCATACAACATCAGACTGTCATACAACATCAGACTGTCATACAACAACAGAGTGTCTTCAGTCAGAGGCTTCTTCAGATCCATTGTAGGACAGACACTATAACAGATCCTTCCTGTCCACAGCATCAGCATCTAGAACAACTCTTGAATGAAACCAGGATGATGAGTTACAACAACATTTAATTTACCTCTGGGATTAATAAAGTATTTTTGAATTGAATTGAATTGAATTGAATTGAATTGAATTGAATCGAGCCTTGTGGGTCCCTGCAGGAAGGAGACACTGACGCAGATACATGATTCCCAAACTTACCTCAGAAACTCCTGTCGCTCCGATAAGAACAGAACCATTCTGATGCTGCACCTGTAATCCCAACCCAGTGTCCTTGCTGCGACATAGGGATTCTGAAACTCATAAATCCCTAATCAGGATTATCACTAAAGGAAAAAAAATCGCTGTAATGCCACTTTGATTGGTGATATGTGCTGCTGATCCCATGCTGCTGATTATTTCTTGCTGCTGTGTTCATTCGTACTCATCTGCTCACACAGACTCATGTTTGTGCTGCTGTTGTTCCGCGTATTGTTTTGCACTATTAGTGTTTAGCATATTCTTAGTTTATATCTTTGATCCTTATTACGGTTTCTTTCTACAGTTTATATTTTGTCATTGTTGAATGTAACTGGGACCCTGAGTGCACATTTTTGTTCCACCTCATGTACCACATGTGATGCGAATGACAATAGATCAACTTGAACTCTGTGGTCAAATATGTAAAGCAGCGGTAAGGTAAAGAAAAAGACATGTAGTTATGATTGTCAGCAACATAAAACATGTTTCAGGTGCAGTAAACCCAACACAGGAAAAGTGACAGAAGACAGTTCAAACATCTGATGTGATGGCTGTAAAATATGTTTTAGAGGTTTCGAAACACCAGGTAGAAGGAGAATTCACGTGGCACCAACTTTTGTGACAAAATGACAGGTTTAAATTTATATTGCATTAGTAAAAATAAAATGTGTTTTTATAAAATGCTTCATCATAGAGGACATCTCCCTCCATCATCATCATCTTCAGTTTGCACAGTTTTGACTCTTCCAGCTGTATTACCCTCAACAAGAAAAATGAACGCGTCTCAACTTCTGTAGCTAATATTCTTGAAAAACAAATTAAACTTTTTCAGATTTTCCATTAAATATTTGGGAATATTTTACCAAAGGTCTTTAAATGCAAATGTATTCAAAAACAACCATTGCTCACAGTTTTTAGAAGATGACCCTGCCTGTTTCATCAATCCTTGGAGATTATAAAGAAGACGGCAGTTGAGTCTGTTCATTATTGATACTTTTAAAACCTGGATATGTCCCATTTTCTTTCCTTTTATTATTTGTCTTTCAGAATTATTTGTAGGTGTCTTTAGGTTGACTTATTTCGTTTGCTAAAGGAAAACAGAAAATACTGCAATATACTTATATACATACATATATTACTGTTATCAATGTAATTTTATTTGTTTTTATTTTTTAATTTGGTTGTTTATTTGTTTGGGTTACTGCAACGTTTTCTTTGCGCGTGTGAAGAACGGAACAAATGATCTGAGTCGCGTCCGTCCGCCCGGACTCTTTTAACCGCCGTACCAGCGAGCCGTGAACGTCACGGTCACCGAGCTGTCTGCTGTGTTTACCTGGACGGTGAGACTTGTACAAATGGAAGCTTTTTGTTTGTTTGTGGGGTTTTTGTTCGCGATGAAGGCCGGTGTGGTTTAGTTTGAAGTGAAAATATTTTTAGTTTTTTAGTTTCGCGGAGGGATTTTAGTTCCGTTTGACAGGTGCCTCACTTCCTGCTAACACCGTAATTAGCCTCGCTTGTTTACGAAATGCTTTGTGTTTCCTCTTGTCTGCAGGTTAGACACACCTGGAACCTTGTTAGTAATTCTGTAGTATTTTCTTGTAGTGTTTTCTCTGTCAGAGCTCTTCCTGTTGTTTAGTTTACCGGTAATCCTTAATGATCTTGTTACCTGAAGCTAACTGATTAACATAAAACTGTCAACCCTTCAAGCTGGAGGTGAGTGATGAAACTCCCTCGAGACAGAAACGTTATTATTCAAAGTTCACCTGTCATTCATGCATTCAGATTAATGAGACTTTGTTACATTTCACGCAGCAGGTCATTTTCTTCTTTTCATGATTTTCTGTTGTTGAAGCTGCTGTTTGAGCTCAGTCTTTAAGGATGTAACTGAACGTTCAGAAAACCATCAGGTCTTTCTCTGTCATCCTTCTGGTTCCGCTCAGATCCACGTGGAGCAGCCAGTAGGAACTGAAGGTTCCTTTTGTAAAGCTAAAAAACATTTTTATGCTGTTACACTTTTAAACTGTACATTTCTGATATTTACAGCATGTTGTTCATGTTGTTGGTAATTAAAGTCCAGTGTTTTGTCCCCCCTGCAGGTCTGCAGGATGGCTCAGACGGACAGTAAGGTTCTGGTTCTGGGAGTACTGGCTGGAGTGGCCGGCATCGGTCTGGCTGTAGTTTGTTACAGGGGTTTAAACTCGAAGCGAAGGGGCTCCTGGCCGGGCCTAAGCCATACCTGCACTTATGGACATGGGTCTGGTATGATGTTGGTGGATGGTCCAGGTCTTCCGGGCGGGCAGGCTGAGGTTCTGCAGCGACTCGAGGCCCTGATCCAGTGTGTGTCTGAGCTGAAGGAAGAGATGAAGGCGTTAAAGACCGCGCTGCCAGCGCTGAAGGACCACGTCAGGGAGGAGTTAAAGGGCCACAACACTGCACATGGAGCCGGTCCTCTGCACAGAGCCAGAAGGAAAAGGACTGTGGGGGCCACGTCCAGGGCAGAGGGACTGAGCTCTGAGGACGCAGAGAGCGAGGGAGGGTGAGTTAAAAGACTCAGAGGTTTTGTGTTCTGATACAAATTACTCGGGTCTCTTTTGAAAACAGTGGGTCGTAGGTGTTGTGTCAGAAAGCATCCCGACAGGAAGAACAGTGTTAGGCAACAACTTGAGGTCACTACCAAAGGCCAGTGAAAATAAAATAAATAATAATAAATATGTGTGTGTGTGTACACACACATATATATATTTGGTTATATACATTTTAAAATGTCCTTTTATTTAAACTAGATTTTAAACATTCCAAAATCACTGCCCATCCATTCCACCTACAACCACAAATCCATCGTGCTGCTCATATGCTGCCAAATGTTCTTTTACCACCTGAACAGATGGTTTCTATTATTTTCCCAGTTTAACAACTTTCCTTTAAATTTTGTGAGGAACTGGTCGGTCTTGTGTTTCCTGTTGAACCTGTTTCCTGGTCTTCTCTTCTGAAAGTAGAGCTTGATGGAGCTGATTTGCTCGAGGTGCTGCAGGGAACAGCAGAATAATCTACCACTGTCTTGGAGCAACACCTTGATCTCACGCCAGCCATAAGAAGAATAAACATCACGCTTTTTTATTTTGACCAGACGGGTCTTCAAAAGCAAACAGCCGCAGATAAATGACGAGGATTTGTCCAAGGCTGTTGTGTTCTCAACAGCTGGGCAGGATTCAAAGTTTTCTCAGGCTTGACTGGGTTTCAAATTTACTCTGAAAACTATCAAGTCTGGACAATAAAGTCTGCATATTTCATGAAAAGTAGACTCTAAAGAAGAAACTTTTGTCCAACAGTAAATTTCTTTTGTCGAATTCAAAGCAAGTTGTTTCAAAACGACGTCGACATCTGAACAAGATGTTTGATTTTTCTTCATGTGAAGCTCCTGACCAGACCTGTTGCTAAAAAGGATGAATTCAGTTAAAGGACAAGTGAAAATCTCCAACGGCTTTGTTCAAAACATGCCAGTTAAATTACGTTCCTAACTAGATTCCAATTAAAGGCCCAACATTCCTTGAAGGAATGCATAACGCACGCTGCCGTTCACCCCACAGTTTTACATCGTCTTGTGTTGAGAAGGGTCAAGTTGTTTCAGCCGTCTGGGATGGGACACTCGCGCCGTGTGTTAGGGATGACTCTCAGCTGCAACCACTCCAAATTGTAGCTCGGTACATTTGAGCTGTGGTGGACGTCTTGAATCAAGTTGAATAAAAGTCAATCACTTTTGAGTTGTGGTGGATTTTCTGAAATGAATCAAACAAGAGATAAACAAGAATTGTCTTTTGTGGAGATTTATTAAAAACTGAAATAATTCTGTAGCAGGTAAACAGAGTACAGAGCATCTGCAGGAGTTGTGGCCAAGACAAATGCAGAGCAAGAAGGATTCATTGGCCTAAGTTTGTTCGATTTGAACAGAAGGAGACGGATAATTCATGCAACCTTTATTTCTACAGGTTAGTGCCATCGAGCGTCAGGGACTCATTTACAAGAGAGACCTGAATTTAACAAAGAGCGACGACAACAGTGGACAATCATGAAGGACGCGTACAAATGTATTTATTTGTTTATTTACTTTTAACAAGTGAAAATAAAATGGTAATTAAAAGGAAAACGGCCTGATTGTAAGGCGGTGTAGAAAACTAAAAACAGGAACATGTAAATCTATCGTTCAGTAAAAAAATGAAACCACCTTAAATGTCGGCAGCCATGACACATTGAGATTCATTCTTTCATAAAACATAAATGATATGAGATCACATCCAGCCACAAAAATGGTTTTTACTCAGTCAACGTTACAGATTTGAGCTCTTTTTTTTGTTTTTGTTTACATTTTTACCATTAATATTTTGTATCTTACCCTGTTTGTTATCAAAATATCTTATGAACCACTAGATGGACTAAGTGAAACATTCAGGAAGTAATCTTTAGTTGAACCCGTACAAATGATTAGCTTTAAGGGTCAGTTCAAATCAAGATGTCCGCCACAGCTGATTGACTAGCCAGAAAAAGCTGTTTCTGTCTGTTTGAACGGATGAGGTCACACTGTGTGTGAAAGTAGCTGAGAGTAATTCAGAGCCCCTCCTCTGAGCCTGACGAACACCGAGTTGTGATCAAAACGGCTTCACCTCCAGTTTTTCTCAACATGAGGTGATGTTGGTCTAAAAGTCTGGCGTCGGCGTGCGTTGTGCAGTGAAGACATTTCTGCACCACTTCAGCCTTTCTCTGAAGGATCCACTTAACGTTATTAATCCTGAAAAACTTGAGGAGCTCGTCCTGTCTGAAAACGCTCTCACTACAACACCCGCAGGAGCCGAGGGCTCGGTGTTGGATTAAAGCTATGCTAAAGGTTTGGTGAAACCCGGTGAGGCGAGGTTGCACCTTTAGCATTTGTTTCAGGTTTGCACACTGTCAGAACTGATGCAGCAGCTGAAGTCAGAGCTAAAACAGTAAAAAGAGTTGTGTGGAGTCATTTACTGATCCTGTGGCAGCACTTTCCCAACAGAGGGCGTCAGGCCAGCAGGAGCTACAGCAAAACCTCATTTTATTACCAAACCGCTGCAAGCTCAATGTTTCTCTGAACTTCTGTGCAGTTTTTCTAGTTGCAGTTGATTATTTTGACTCAGTCATATTTTTCTGCATGAAGAGATTTCAGATTTCTAACGATCAGTCGTTAGGCTGATGGTCCTCCTTGATCATGTGAACAGCTAGCTCTGGATGTCAACGACAAACTATTTGATCCACCATGAGATGGAGCTATTTATAAGACTGAGTTTGTTGCAGCTCCTCAGACTGAAGAAGTCCTTTGGATAAAAGACAAAACATTTCAATAAAGAGTAATCATCCAGAGGACCGGACTCCACCTTATGTCCAACTTGATTATTGAGCATCAGGACATCTGTTAAAAGTAATTTATGACCATCTTCTTTTGACAACACTCTGTAAATGTCCAGGACCTGAGGAGACCAGTTGTTTTGTCTCGTTCTGATTGTGGACTGTAGCTGCTCAAAAGTCCTGGATGGGACTTGATATTGTTGTAAAACCTGTAGATCCTTTTCTTCATTGAGCATTTCCAGATGTGTAAGCTGCTTGTGTCAGAGGCACTAATGCACCCCCATACAGTCAGAGAGGCATGTTTTGAACTGTGAGCTGATACCAGGCTGAATGGTTCCTCTTGTCTTTAATCTGGAGGACGTGGTGTTTGTGGTCTCCAAACAGAACTTCAGATTTGGACCCGTCTGACCTCAGAACAGTTCTGGACTCGCCTCAGTCCATTTGAAACGAGCTCTGGTCCAGAGAAGACGGCAGCAGTTCTGGATGGTGTTCACATCTGGCTTCTTCTTTGTCTGATAGAGCTTTAAGCAGCATCTGTGGATCTACGTTTACAGACAATGACCTTGAGTCCAGAACAGAACCAGACCTGGTCTTAATGCAGTGAAGTCCAGACCTGGTCTTAATGCAGTGAAGTCCAGAACCAGACCTGGTCTTAATGCAGTGAAGTCCAGAACCAGACCTGGTCTTAATGCAGTGCCCCTGAGGGCCCAAAGACCACGGCCATCCAATATTGACCTTCAGCCTCATCCAATGAGCTCAGAGATTTCTTCAGATTCTTCTAATCTATTGATCAGATTATGAACTGGAGATGATGGAGATCAACGTCTTTATTCAGGAACTTTATTCTGAAAGACTGGTAAACCCCCGCCCATCTTTACTTCTGGCAGATCCAGTCTCTTTACACCCACTTCTTTTACTGACCTGTTGATAATTGTCCCAGTTAGTTACAAAATGCTCCTCCAGTTGTTTCTTTTTCATCTTTTGTTGTCCAGGGAACAACTGTTTGGAGATACGTTGCTGCCAATAAATTCTAAAATACCTTCATTTCTATTTGAAATATTTACCGTGTTCCATTGTGAATAAACTGTTATTTAGTTTATCACAACGCCTAAACTCTTTCAAAACAGGGGTTGTACTTTAAATCATAAAGTTAACATTCCTAAAATATTGTATATTCACATTTATTAATAATATTTTTACTTTAATTTGTGTCTCGACAGCCTCATTTTACCAACGGGATCAAATTTAGCACATTTATTTGCATATGGTCTTTTTAAAAAGTGCCAGCAAAAGTCCCCTTTCTGTCCGTAACCCCCTCAGTTCCCACACCGGTTTTTCTCCAGCTATTTTAGGAACACTTTACTACATCCTAGTATTATTCATTGTGCTGCACTTCAGGTGAAACTAGCCCGCAGCAACAGCACGCTGCATGAATTACTGTCTTTATTTACTCCAAACCTTATCTAGTTTCTGGGACAGATGAATGACAGGTGCTCTCCGTCAGTTGTTCCGGACGTGTCAGTGACTCTGTCCGCCAGGTGATTCAGCAACACGGAAAGTGGGAGTTCAGCTGTTAGGAGGACCAGAGGAGTAAAATCTCTGGACTCTTTCCAGGCAGGCATTGTTCAGAGACCAGCGTTCATTGGTCTTGTCACCAGGCTCAATGAGCTGGACTGAATGTTCCTGGGCCCAGAGATGTTGGGATGGTTACTGGGGTTTGTTTGGACCAGGGTAACCATGGAGACTGCCACCGCTAAGCCCTCAGGGAGATCCGTTCTTTGGCCCTCAGGGTTGCCGTGCTCAATGGATGATCTCTCTCCTGTGAAGCGTGTCGGAAGGAAATGTGCAAACTTGGCAGTTCTCAATTTAAAGTGTAGGTAGAGTGTTACATGATGTCATTTTGCTTTGGTATCCTTTCACAAGCTTCCCACAGTAGTCTGCTTTTTGTCTCGTTCCTCCTGACAGAACTGCTGGATCTGAGTCATGTTTGTAGGCTGCTTTGCTCATGCACACCTTCTCAGCTCTGTCCACAGATTTACTATGGAACTGAGATCAGGAATTTGTGATGGACACTCCAAAGCATTGTCTTTGTTGTCCTTAAGACGTCTTTCGTTACAAATAAAGTCCAGTTGTTTTTTATTGAACGTTTTTTTAATTTGTCCTTAAGACACT